ATGTACACTTTTGAAAAAGCAACCAAACTAGTTTAGCAAGGACTGTCACGACAATGTTTTCTCCAAAAACAGTCAATGATCTGACGGAAAGTATTATTCACTCTCGTCGACGATTAATTCATGTGCGAAGATTTACTGCTGCTCATGAAATAAATGGCGAGGAAAATAATTGCAAGTAAATTCAAATTTTCTATTTTGAAGTTGTAAGAGTTTGCTCGTTTGTTTGCTGCAATGGCGTGTGTAAATCTGGTCTTTCCTTCACACAAAATCTAAATTCGAATGAGCTGAGACACTTCAACGAGACACAAGGGGATTTAATGCGTATATTTGTTGTAGAACTGAAAACTTCGCTCGTCCTTTTACAACGAACAAATTGTTTGACAGAACTAGGACATTAAATGAATGAAGGTTCCATCGATTAATTCAATTTTGACCAAATACCTCACGTTTTAACTTTCTAAGTATTTTTTGTGAAGGATTGAAATTAATTACAGACAGGTTTTAGGCCGCCTATCAACCAATTTAATGGCACTTAAGCTTATACAAATTAATTTCGAAACCAATATTTTTCTGTCAACCAAGGTGATTTGAGAGAGAGAAAAGAGAGGATTCATAAGTTAGTAATAGGTTTGAGTTAGTGACCGACGTCTTTGCTTAGAAATGCTGCCTGTCGGGAAAAACGCATACGGACCGCGCAGAACCAATCAGATTGTAGGATACGTTGCCGTGCCCTCTGAGAAAAAAATAAGGGAGAATTAATGAGAGGGAGATATGGAGAGCGAATCATTTCCTCAAACGATGTGAGTGTTCCAACTCTAGCGAATGAATTTCGGATTTGTACATCACTCTTTTATAACCACTGATGGAATTGAACATGTAAAAACAACTTATTTCATTCCTTTTAACAGGGAACGTCAGGCTTCTGTGTCTATCCCATTGGAAGATTTTCATCCCGAGATCGATACCAGTAGAACCAAAGCTTCTTTCTTTGAACGGTAAGCTATCTTTGCGCGATAATCAACTTTTCAGACTGATATGGAAAACCAATCCGTAGTTTACTCCGCAGTGAATCTATTTCGGTTTTGCACATCACCCTTTTTCAACCTCAGATGGATTTGAGCATGCAAAAGTGAAACATTTATTTCCTCTTATCAGGGAACCTAAGGCTTCACGGTCCATCCCTTTGGAATGGTTTGATTTTCATCACAATGTCCTCGTGACCTTTTCGTTTTCTAGCGGGTGTGATTTTCACGATCCAAGACAAAACTTCAAACGGTTATAAGATACTTGAGATAGATCGCACGCTCTCATAGGTCACTGAAAGACAAACTAAAACCAGAAGTGAAGCTGATTCACGTATAGTCCGACCTATCAAACCTAAAGCTTCCGCGACTCCAGATTTACCGCACGAACGAGATGTTGTTGTTGTGTTCAAATCTATTCTGAAAAGAGACCACAGTCCAGAACAAACCAAATGCACCCTTTTATCGGGTGTTAATCATACTACAAAAACTCTGATAAAAGTTGGTTCAAAGCCAATGCAATGGGAGTTAACAAACTTAACAGTCTCATGAAAACAATAGCTGAAAAAAAGACGGTCTTGACAACTCTCACCTTACGAACCACAGTGCGTGAAAACGAATGATTCAAACATTGAATGATAAGGGCATTCCTTCTAATCATATATAATGCAGTTATCAGGACACAAAAATGTGCAGAGTACTTACAACTACAGTCATCTTTCACAAAAAACAATGGAAAAGTATGTCAAGAATATTGAGTGGCCCGACTTCAATAGTTCAAACTGAAACACACTCTTGTCGAAACAAAGTCAAACGCCGACAGCAGCAGGGCTATTCGAGGATGCTGTGCTTTACGGAAGAAATTTCAACGTCAAGTCGTCCTCGTCTTCAACAGAAGCACATAAACAACAAACTCATAGAGGAATAACATGCATATTTGACTCTTCAGACGACGAAGACACTACATGAGTTCACCTTTGACATAGAAAGAGTCAGCTTCGTTGAAAAGCTAAGTACTTATTTTTGTCAAGCTTTTCCTCCTTTTTCTTTAGGATATTTTTGAATGAATACTTACGAAAATTAATTCGTTGCTAATAAACTGTCATGTTGTAAGCTTAGTTAATTCATTTCAGTATTTAATTTCACCATTTCCAGCCTTGATTTAACTTGTAAGGCACCTTTTTTTGTTAGTTCCATAGAATTAGCTTTCAAACCTAAGTGGATACTTGTAAAAGCGACTTGATAAATCACTTTGAATTTCAAGAAAATCTCAGTTCGTATATAATAAACAAACTCACTCTCTCGCTTAGCCTCGTCCGTTCGTTTTGTGAAAGTGGTCAACTGTACCGCGGGCACGCTAACACCACGGCTTTGTCCAGTAGTCCAGTGGTCAGTGCACTGGGCTACGAGTCAGACGACCCAGGTTCTAGTCCTGGCCGGGGCAAGGCGTTGTGTCCTTGAGACGTGCAGGAAAAATGCGAGCTCCGCTTTTCGGCTTGGCTAAATCTATATATTATGCTGGAGAGCTTGTTAGTAGTAGTCCATGGTTCGGCCGGACATGTTTGCTTGCCTTTTGACTGTGAAAACTCTGGGTATAGAATGGTTTCAACGCAAGGAGTCTTGAAACAGTTAAAAAAAAAAAACACCGTGGGCAGCTATGGAGGACTTTCCTGGTAAGTAACTGTGTTTTCTTCTCGATCCGTGCCTTATCCTTGCTAAAAATAATAGGGAAGAAAACACAGTTACTTACCAAGAAAGTCCTCCATGGCTGCTCACGATGTTTAAAACCCCTGCGTTGAAATTATTCTGTGCCCAGAGTTCTCACGGTCAAACAGGCAAAATCCAGCCGAACCATGGACGCTGGAAATCATCGGCTACTACAGACAAGCTCTCCAGCATATTACTCTTTTCTCGAGACCACCGAAAATTATACTTTACAAATTCGGCGCAAAAATCAGGTTTGTTCAAGTCCCCGAGTCCCACGTCCCCGAGTCCCAGTCCTCACGTCTCAGTCTCACTTTTAGTCACAGCCCTAAATCCCTCATATGCGGTGAAACATGGTTTACCTACCAAACATGTCTGAGGCATCAGAAGGCTGCGCGTTAGAGGACAAAGCGAGTTGTACTCGAGTTTCTGCCGAGAATAACATAAGAAGGAGATTTGTGGGAACGAAGTCTAATGCTGGAAAGACGACTGAAAAACTCGTAGGTACAATGTAGTTGATATCGGCTTGTAATTCACTATGCACGTGCACACGTTTACGTCGAAGGAACAGAATTGTAATCGTTCCCACTCTCAAACCCATTTTTAACGCAATTTCTTCATTTCTCTTCCTTTTTGTCGTATTCCTTTCCTTTAGGTGCACACGGTATAATTTTTACGTTCATGTCGTACTTTAATATGTATCCTAAGCCCAATAAATGGATGAAAACTGAGTTTTTTTTTTTTGCTTGTTTTGGTTTGTTTTGTTTTAATTTCCTTGTCTGTAACCTTGCACTGTTACTTATAATTTGATATACTAGTCGAAATCCTCAGCCCTGGACCCAGTATACATGCCTAAGTCTCTGATCCCTGGGGGGATAATATGTTAAGATTTCCGCTCAGCTCCATTCTTCATTATGCATACATATCTTGGATAACTGAAAGAAAACGATGGCGAAAACAATAGATTACCTTTGTTTTACAATTGTATGGGACTGTACGGAAATCTTGCTGAAAATATTCCGATCAAACTTTCTGTTCCTTGAGCAAATATTGTCAAGGGATTAAAAAAAAAAATAGTCACTGTCATTGAAATGCCTTACATTCCCTGTTATTCAAGAAATAGGAGCAAGTAAGAGAAGAGTTGTTCGTCAGATTCCAGATGAGATTGTCACCAATCTTGAGCTGCAAGATACTGTAAGGCAGGTAAATAATGAGAAACTTCACAGGACCCTGGGTTCACTTGACCCTTTAACCCCATAAGTGACCAGGAAAGAATTTCTCCTTACAATATCAGTACAATATCAAGCAAACAAGTGATGAGAATGAAGAAAAATATCAATTAGGGGATTAATAGCTGATCCAATACCCAACTTCTCAGAACTGACATCAAAAGAATTGTTGGGCAGACAGTAAGGAGAATTACTAATGAGATCTTGGGAGTCAAAGGGTTTAAAAAGTAAGTTAATTACTTTCAAGCCCCTTTCAACTGATTTAGTTTTATAAAATCCAACTAGGTTCATCATTGGGATTTTCAGTCAGCAGACTGAGTGTGGAAAGAAATTAAAATGTGACTTCTTTAAGTATAAATGTATTATAAGTTGCTCTACACAAACTTGAATCCTTTTCAGCATGTCATGATGTCACTGAGGCCTGTAGGATTGTTATTTAAGAATCAGATCTTATTTTTCAAGTTTATTTTAATTTTGCAGTCTGTGTACTAAATTAACCATCCTTGTCCAAACCTTTTTTTTTTGGCAACTTTTTTTTTACATGTATTTGAAATGTGAGGCATTTACAAAGAGTGTGTTCTAGATAACTGTTATTTGTCTGGAATGGTCATCATCAAAAACAGGTCACAACAGTTTAACCAACTAGCTACAATTCATTTTCTATATATTAGATTTTGCACCAATAGAGATCAGGGTAAATATTGCTTTCTAACCGAGATAATTAATCCTTTTACAACAGTTACCTCCTAACTACAATTTTGAAATCTTCAAGTCAGTGTGGAGGAGTTAAGAAATAAATGCTGAAAGAGGTAAATAAGCCCACATTAGTTGTTAAATTTTGTTTGTGTCTTGTTCTTATGCAACACACTTGACTCCACCTTATAATGCCTTTCTCCACCTGAGTGCAAAAAAAAAAAGATGAATTTCTCTGCCTGTCCCTGATTAACACAGCCTGACTTAACAAAGCAGCTGAAGAGATTCTTTAAGAATCGAAACCCCGGTCCTGCTAGACGATATACTTCACTTTCAGTTTTACCTGAAAAAGATGTCAGCTTTTGAAACACCATTGCGGCCACCAAAAACGCCAGACTACCGTCCAAATCTGGACGAGGCGATGGAATTAACGTACACTGATCCGAACCTAGAATCGTACCCAGAGGATAGCCCTCCAGCATCACAACTCGAGCCAAGGCATAAAGCTGAATTAGCCAAACAACGCAGCAACAAGGTCTACGCCTTCAAAAAGAAAGCCGTCAAAAAGAAAACCTTCCGAGGAATAGCCGATCCACGCGGCAGCCAAGGAAGAGGAAACATGAAGACACCATCAGCGCTATCCAGTTCAAGAAGCAAAAAACTGAAACCTCCATTTTAAAACTGGAGAGACACTTACAACAAAAGACTTGCCCTAAGTCGCTTCAATACAAGGCGAAGGCAAACGTCACGCCTGACGAAACCTTTCGACAGGAAATAAGCGCTATTAAAAGTCACGCCGAAGAACAATACGTTAGCGCCCTAGTGCGCTTCCATCAGCGTAGACTTGTTAGTCACAAGAACAAACTTGAAAAGGCTAATATTGCCAAGTCTCGATCACAATACAATGTAAATACACGTGAAAGATCACGTTCGCCCTTGAGGAACACTGTAAATACTGATGTCGACAGGATAGACAAAATAGAAAATCAGCTTTCAGAGCTGAAAGACCTTATATGTACACGCTTTCAGAGTGATAATAAACATGTTGAAAAGTACAACAGTGTCATCTCTGAAAAATCAGTCGCCAAACCCACTGCAGCAAAAAAAAAGGCTATCCAAGAATAATAAACGCAAAAAGCGTAGAAAAAATACACTACACAAGCGAGTGACTACAGAAAGGGAGAAAAATGAAAAATACCTTAAAAACCTTTCAGACAATACATTAACTGATCACCAAGTCAGCGTGTTAGCAAAAGGGCTTAGATTTATTGAAACACCCGTGACAAATGAAAATAAGATCAGGCAACAATTGTTGCGTGACTTCGCACAATTCGCAAGGCGAATGAGACTTAGATATGTATTCCACGGGAATGACAAGGAACCACATCCTTTCCACGTCAAATCAAACTGGATACCACCAGTACAACCTTCTACTGCCCTTGAACGCTACTTCGAAAATATCAAGTTAAGCCTTGCTGAAATAGAAATAACAAAGCCAAAACACAACCTGTCATACAACGAACACAAAGCAGTCAAAGAACTGCAAAACAATACTGCCATCAACCTTAAACGTGCTGACAAAGGCACCACAACAGTGATTCTCAACAAGAGGGACAAAATTCAAGAGGCCCAGGTTCAGCTCGACAACAGAGACCACTACCGACCTCTTGAAAACCCCATGGTCACTGACACATTAAAAAAGTTAATGAGCTTATTGCTCAACTGCACAATGGCAAACATATAGACGATATGACAAAAAAGTGGCTTTCACAGACTCCCAATCCGCCCAGAATACCGATTTTCTACACTTTAACAAAAATCCACAAACCTTTGCCAGTGGGTAGACCGATTATATCGGGCTGCGAAGGACCAACTGAAAGGATATCATCCTTTGTGGATCATTTATTACAGCCTATTGCTCAAAAGCAAACATCGTATCTCAAAGATACGACTGATTTCATCAACTTTATAGAGAAAACGCAAGTGTCAAATGATACTATTTTAGTATCAATGGATGTAACAAGCTTGTACACAAACATCCCACAAGAAGAGGGTATCACAATAGTATGCCAAGCATACGAAAAATACCACAATAACAGCCCTCCCATTCCGTCCCACTACTTAAAACAAATGCTCGGGCTTATACTGAAAGAAATTCGTTCCAATTCAACGGAGTAAACTATCTCCAATGTTTTGGAATTGCCATGGGAACACGAATGGCGGTTGCTTTCGCCAATCTCTTTATGGCAGAAATTGAAACAAAACTGCTTCACCAAAGCAGTATCAAGCCGAGAGTATGGAAGCGTTACATTGACGACGTTTTCTCCCTGTGGGATGTTCGTAAACAAGACATTGATCTATTCATAGAACAAGCTAACACGTTCCATCCAACTATAAAGTTCACGGCTGAAATCTCAGAGACTGAAATCACATTCTTAGACACGGTTGTCTACAAAGGTGAAAGATTCCAAAACGAAGCTATCCTCGACGTCAAAACTCACTACAAACCGACCGAGACCTTTCAATATACACACTATTCATCTTGCCACCCGCCAGGTGTTAAGAAAGGCTTTATTAAAGGAGAAGCTATCAGACTTCTAAGAACAAACTCCTCGGAAAGAAATTTCCAGGAGGCCATGTGTAACTTCAAAACACGACTTGAAGCACGTGGTTACCCAAAAAGCCTAATTGAAAAAACGTTATCTGAGGTCTCGTTTGCCGGAAGGCAGTCGACACTTAAAACAACAAAAAAACTAAAGGCAAAATATTGCCTTTTTTGTGACAGCATACCACCCAGGGTTAAAAATTTAAAACAAATACTGATGCAAGAATGGAACCTCATCCAAAATCAGCCACTGCTGAAAACAATTTACAAAACGCCTCCGATTATATCATACAAAAGAGGTAAATCGCTCAAAGACATACTCGTCAGAGCGAAGCTTTAATTAAAGGCTTTTGCGTCGCAAACGTAAAACCACACAGGGGAGTCTATGTAGGCCTGTCTATGACCTTTTCACTCCATTAGGATTTCGTTAAGTTTAGAAAGCATAATTCCAGACTTGCTGTTTAAGACAAACAGTTTTCTGCCGTATCTTTCCGCACTTATGTGGTCGGAGATATGACGATAAGAGTTGAAAAGAAGCGTATAGATGTCGATGTAAAACTGTCGCAGTACTGAATTAAATTGGTCTTTGCTATTTTGATCGGTGCTATTTAGCAAAATCAAACATTCCCGGGATATCTCGATGGCTTTCTGAATGCGATCTGAGTTGAGCAGGAACAGGGAAACAAGTAAGGCGATGCTCATGAAAGCTATCATGGCTTATGCTGTTAGGTTTCCATTGCCATCCTCTCCTGTTATCAGGGAAACATTATTTTTAGTAACACAATACTAAAGGAGTTGATAATCTAGATTCATAATAAGTCACTACAAACAGGAACACACATGTTAAGTTACAAAAACGGGCTGGGTCTCTTACACCTGGAAACTTTTTGTCACGAACTGTAAGTGTTGGAATTCACAATATCGACTTAAAACAAAAAATAAGTAAAGAAGAGGATAAGTACATCAACGGATCACATTTGGTGAAACTTGTAAAATTAATTTGACCTGCACAGTTTTTCTAAATAGATGAATAAAATAAAATTACTCGGGGAAATCGAACACAAGGAAGCATAAACTAATAAGCAAACACAACTAGAATAAAGAACGTACCAGACGTGACGGGATAAGGGCCGTAGAAGCGAAACTTGACTGCGAAACTTGACTGACAACGGACAACTGATAACTAACTCGAACAATGTGACTCGCAGAATGAATAATAAATTAGCATGCAGAGCGCGAAATAACTAATGTTGACGAGGCGGCCTGGGTCGAGGGATGGTTTTTACACCGGCCCCTAATAAGGGCTACTAGCCTTATTCTAATAAAAAAAAAAACCAAACCTATACCTAAATACCTAAATTACGCAGTTCATAATAATTTCGTAGTCATGGAATTCATGACAGTTCATTCACAGAGTTCATAGTGTCATAAATTCTGGACTCCTTCGAGGAGGCACAGCTTCCTGATGTCCCGTGTGTAGACTGATGTGGCCGTTCTCACTTTAACATGACGTACGTGGCCATGGCTGTCCGGGAAACAAGAAGACTTGAATGACACCGTATCGGTTCGCTTAAGTCACACACGCGAAAACCGATCAAATTCAAGGTAAATTTTTGAAAAAGTGAGGCGTTCTTAACTGATCCAACTAACATAGCTAGCAAGTAGGTGCCATAGAAAAGGTATCTACAGAAAAAAAAACTTTGCGGCCCGACCTTTACGAAAACTTTATAACTCCGTGAACTTACCTAATTTTCGGCAATCTCAAGTTTGGTCGCCATTTTGAGGGACTCGTCAACATGAAGCGTAGCAGATATAAATCAAGCAGGTAGATCTAAGACCGTCAGAAATACATACGAAAGCGATTCAAATGAATTTCTTCCAACAATTCAAAAACTACAACTTGTGCTCGAATTCCCTCGTCGATTCCGCCGTAAGAAATGACCTGTGCCACCCAAGCTTCGACTCGAATGTGAAGTACAAATCAAATAACATAACTGCTTCATCTTCGAGGCTGGTAGTTTGATTTTCGGATCGACAAGAACGGTGATCAGGAAGCGATCGCTATGTTTACCTCATAAACGTGACCGCTGACCAGCCGCTGGGTGAAAACAGTATAGCACGGGGTGGGGGGTGGTTGGTGGGCTTATCGTCATAAGATATTCGAATACATGCTTAAAAAGCTTTAGGACTCCCACTCTAAACAGTGAAGGCATGCTTCGTGGTACAGACAACTTTCATTTTACTCTTATAACTTTCTCCTTTAAATTAGAACTGGTATTAATTAATAGAGTTATCAATATATTTTTAACCGGGGTACCCATATGACCTTTTGCTTGTCATCAGTGGTATAAAATAAGGTGTCTTTTTACCAGAACCTTTTATTTATGTTACAAGTACAGGAAGAAGTCGTTCGTTAGCGAGACGTTCATTATGTCTCAGGACTGCTTTTTTAATAGCAAAGATGGAAAAACTTTGGTTCATCGCGTGGTTTGGTACGACTGTCTGAATCCTGGGATCCTGTTGTGATTTTTACCTGATTACATTCATTCAGAGGCCTTCAATGGGGAGCTTGTTACTCCGGAGTAAACACTACTAAATAAGTGATTTTTTTTTTTTTTCTCTCTAGTTTTTGTCACTTATTTGTATTCACATGTCACCCATGGTTTTTTTTTTTTGTCTTTCATTGTTTAACCCTTCTCAGTTTGTAATTTATACCTTTGTTGTATTACGTAACCTCAATCTTAAAATTTCTGTTTTGTATATAAGTCGCAATCATTGTAAATAGCCTTTTAGTTTGTAATTTTTAACCTGAAGAAGGCTGAACGGCCGAAAAAAAATATTTAGAAAAAAACTTTATCTTAAGCATTTCAAACTCAACCCAAGTGCAGACTTAAACTTCTTTTATTGTTGGAGATTCTTAACAGAATAAGAGTTTCTGACGATGTCTAAGTTTGATCTAAAGAAATGCGGGAAGGAGAGATTTTGCATAACTGCGCATGAACAGGGACATTTGATCCAGAAATGCGGAAGAGAGAGATTTTGCATAACTGCGCTTGAACAGTGAAAAGGAGTGCACCTTAATGCAGTAGGATGGTAAACAAGCACGTGGTAATATAGATAAAATTCATTCACACTATGGAGGTTTCGAATGAAATTGTTGAAACGTTCTGGGATCTCTTAGTACGACAAGATTACTGCCAATCAAACTCTAAGAAATTATAAACAGCGTCATTTTAATTGAGAAAAGACATGATTCATTTTGTATCGATCTGAAAAAACAAAGGAAGGGAGATATTTGATAAAACCGCACACGAGCAAGGAAAACGTATTCACCCCAATCCAGCCTAACATGGTAAAAAAGCGCATGGTAGTAAAAATATAACTTCCTTCACATCATGAATCTTTTCTGGAATATCCTAGTTCTCTAACACAACTACCACAGTCAGAACATTTGATCCAGACACCAAAAGAGTATGTTTTAAAAGTTATCGAAATGTCAGCAATGTATTCATTGCGTTGAAATGTTATCGTGGAAGAAAAAGTAAGAGTTGAATTATGTTTTTCTCCTCTTCTACGATGCTATTATCAGGTTTTTCATTGTCACTGTCGTTATCATTACCACCGTTATCCTGATCATCATGACTATCATTGTTATTGTTTCAATGTGAATCATTGCAGTTATCCGGACCTCCCGGACATCCAGGATATAATGGTACTCAGGGCCCTGCAGGACCATTCGGACTATCCGGTGTTCAGGGCCCTCGTGGGCCATCTGGGTTCAATGGTCTCCAGGGCCCACTTGGACTCGGGGCTAATTCCTGTGTTTTTAAGACTTTATCCAGCACTGGTATGGCAGCAAACTCAATCGCCCAACAAGAAATTACAGCGACGGAACCAGATGTAATTTGAGTTGAGGATTGTGAAAGTTGTTTGATTCTGACAAAAAATGTACTATTGAAAATTGCATTACGACATATTAGCACTTGAGACAATATTTACCGGTCAAAGGAGTTGTCTAAATGTCGTAAGGCCTCATTTTAAAGTCATAAAGTTGAGTTATTACTTTCTAGCCATAGGCCGCATCGACTGGAGAATCAAAGCTAATTTCCTATCTTTTAAGTTTTAAATCTCCATCACCATTAAAACGTAAAAAAGAAAATAAAATCTTTAACAACTTATTTCGAAATTCAGTACGAACTCTTTGGAAAAGTTCATTTTGCCGCCAAATGTAAGATAAAGTATTTTTTTTTGTTTTGGACAATTTCATACCTTTAAGTGTATCTACGGAATAGAACAAAAAAGCGTTATAAAATATATTAGTTTTTTTTTTCTCGCCCTATAAGTGACAACAAAAATCGATTTTACACAAACGACCTTCCCCGCCTAGCTACGCCCTTGTAATAACATACATGTATCATCTAATCGTGATTAATTTCTTGTGTGAAACCGATTTCGAGAAGTTGTCCCTGGCTGCATCAAATTTCAGTATGCGAATTTCAAAATACCACTTAAAAAAGAAAATGTAAGGGACTAAATCAAGAGTTTCAATGAGATGGTCAGCGTCAAGTATGGGACTGGAAGAAAGTTTTGTGAAAGTAAGTAGCCATGTTACCCAGAAAACTTCTCAATTTTACTACGAACTGTTGCTTTCTCATATTTAAATCTATACTGATGTTCAATGCCAAATACAGATTTCAGTTCCTTAGGACATCATCCAAATTTTACATTATATTTTGTACTAAATGGAAGAAAAGTATTTGTAAGTATGTCAAGTTAAAAAGGAGTACTAGCAGCCACAAGTGGATAGCACCTGATATCGCCGCGACTTCAGCGACTGACATGTAATGACTGTCGGAAATATGGCTCTGGAAGGTAACCTGATATCATGAGAAATAAAAGCTTTAACTTAACAACATGTCTTCTCTTCAGTTTTGTAAAGGTCACATTTAATCTGCTCACACATTTTTTGGTAATTATGGCCACTTTAGTGAACAAAATACTGTTCTTTAGCTGAACAAAGATAAGGTTTATTTTAATAATTCAAATTCATAAAGTGATCAATTAACAATAAGGCAACAGTGAGGACATAAGTTGTACTCCACTGTAGTCGAAGTGCCGACAGCCTTAAGCGATGGTCTTGTCATAATGCTCGGTGAAACCCTCTGGGACTAAGGAACTTCATGATTCGATAAAAATGGTGTCCCTTCTTCTGACCGATTCAAATGGATTGGGTGGGTTTTACACAGAATCCATCTCCCCCCTCCAACCCCCTAAATAAAATGGAAAGCTCAGCTTTAGACATTTAAATAATGCTCAATTCGAGAGCGAAAACATTTGACTGCAACTGAAATTGCCTAATATTGCAAGATGCTGAGAAAGGAAAAAAAAGAGTGCCGCCATAGGTAAGGATTTGTGTGATTGATGGGACTATGAGAAAAATGTTGAAAAAATGGTTACAGTATCTTGCTCTAAAAGAGTTTCTGAATATTTCCTTTCCCATCCTTCTCAACGCCTTTATAGCATTTAGTTGAAATTGAAAGCAGCTATTTCCGAAAATCTTTCCCTAAACCTTAGCATCAAGCGCAGTACGAAACCAGTAGATCATTAAAGGCAAGAAAATTTTAGTTTTGGTTTGACTTCAGCCCATCGAAGACTAAAGCATCAAGATGAAAACCTCTATACCTCATTTGTTTCTACCCTGATATCTTACTGTACACTGGAAAATGGGTAGATAATGATAACCTGGATCAATATCAAGACAGCATAATCATTTTGTTTAATAATGCTTTTGCCGTCATTTAAGGTCAGTTCAATCCTTTATTGTACAATCTATAAGCCAACGTCCTAACAAATATTTCCTGTCATTATCCTATTTAAGACAGCTCACGAACCAGTCAATCTTAGCTCTCTCATCGGGTAAGTGATGATCACATGATCATATCGCATCGCATTTCAGCATCTCTATGGTCTGCCTAAGCACGTTTCGTCCCAAGAAGAGTCTAAAGTTGATCTGTTTCACAAACGACACAATCATACCATCCAATGATGGATACTAAGATCGAGGTCGGGCAGGAGAACATTTATTTCGAAATGGAATCTAAACAGGAAGCTAACACCGAAACCTATGACGATGTAGTTTTCAGAAAGGACACTTCACAGGCAAAACCAAACATGGAATCACAGCCGTATAAAGATTCTGATA